ATATGACAATTACACCATACAGTAAATAAATTAGATATACAAAAATAATATTTAATTAATATTAAAAATCAATCTCAATTTCAAAAATAAAAATATGTAGAAATTCTAATTTGTGAAATGCTTTTTCTTGACAATTATACACGCTGCAATAGGCAACCACTGTTAAATTTCTGCAAGTCGTCCCTACTCTTCCGGATGTGATCAAGGTGACAGCCGGGAACGCGTCAGACGAGGGAGAAAACCCGTTTGGGTTAGTCTATTTCTTATAAGGTCCATGACTTCTTGTTAACTCCGCCTACGAGGATCGCAGAAAGGAATGACCTGACCCTTCTCTTTAAGCCCTGGGACAAAAATAGAGATAAAATTTTCCGAGTCTGTCTCATAAGACAATTCACAGAATATTTCTATTGCATACCTGCCAACCTCTAAAGATAAAAATTCAGAAGATTTCTCCCCCAAATTCTGAAGACTTCTCCAAAATTCAGAAGAACACGAAGATTTGATATTAAAAAAATAACAATTTATACAAATAGAAAAAGAAAATTGTACTTACATTAGTATATCTCAATTAAGTAGTAACTAAAAAAATTTATAGGAAACATAAAACAGAACTTAAAGTTACACAAAAAAATTATTGCAATGAATTTAGAGTGCATCTTTTGGCTTTAGCCAAAACTTCTTTGGAAAATTTCCTGTCATAACAATTACTTTCCTCATAACATTTAGCCATTAAAATGCTTTCTAGAGTTTTTGGTGAAATTGAAGAACGAAAAATAGTTTTGTTTTTCTTCACAACACTGAAGACTCTCTCGCACTCAGCATTACTGTGTAGAATGACATCGGCATCCGAATTCGTAGCCGAATTTGAAAAAAAATCATCCACTTTCTTTGACGTTGTCGAAGCCGGAGCATCAACTTCATGCTTTTTAGACTTTACATGCTTCACAATGTCGCTTCTTCCACTGTGACTTATTATGAAGTCACACACGTTGCAAAATGCATGGTTATTTCCTTTGAAGGATTCTTTAATTGTTGGAAATTCGGCTTTGTAGGCAGGCCGAAAATATTGAGAATACGGTTTTTTTTAACGCATTTCGTAACAACGACGTATTAAGAAAATTCGTAACACGTGCAAACAAAACAAACCCCCCCCCAAAAAAAAAAAAAAAAAAAAAAAAAAACAGAATGCGACAATCCACGCTCGCTGAGTAATTCCCTTGCTGCTGAAGCGAACGCGAAAAAATAATCTGGCGCCCACAAAGAAAAGTGTGGGAGAAACAAGTTCAGCACATTGGATTGGTGGTTAAGCGGCGAGTTGGGAGAAACCGCAGGTTACTGGATCGAAGTAGTCGGTAGTGGCGTAAAACACGATGCAATTGGCAATTGGCAAAAATTGGCGAAAAATTCTAAAATTTCGACAAAAATCACTAAAAACACTTGAAAAAGGAAAAAAATCGTAAAAAATGGATTACGATCGTAAAATCGTAAAGAAAAACGCATTTTCGTAAAAATTACGAAAAATTCGTAAAAGTTGGCAGGTATGCTATTGATATGCTGAGCTGCAAGTTAGGAAATCAAATGCACGCAAATTAGGTCTTCATTTGTGAGATAATGAGATTCATCAATCGTTTCTAACAATTTCTTTGCAAGACCTTTTAATATAGCTGCATATTTATAACATTGAAGTTTAATTACTTACATACTACAACATTTAAAAGTACGTTTTCCGGTATTGTTTCTTTCTTATTTTTTAAATGAATAAAATGAATATTTCTAACTATAAATGTATTTTATACAGGCAAATACCATAGATTCAGAGTGTTCAAACCATTGCGATTGCACAAAGTAATTTGCCATGTTCACTTACTTTATATACCGAAAGTGAAAAAAAATTAATAGCTACATACAATACTGTAATTATGTCATAATGATTTTTTTTCTCATTATTTTTATCCCTTGGCAGGAGTGAAAGCATTAATTGATTCAATTAATTTTTGTAAGATCTTTTCTTTTATAGAATCAGATACAGCATTAAAAAATAAAATTAAAAAAAAAAAAAAAAATTGGTCTTAATGATTAGCCTGCATTTACATGAAACTGATTTTACTGCAATTTTTAATTAATTAAGGGAAAAGCCGAGTGAAAACAAGTCTTTACGTTATCGAAAAATGAAGACTTCTGGCAAAACCTGAAAACTTCCCTTTTTTTCTCTTACTGGAGACTCTTCTGGTAAAAATGAAAACTTCCGTTCTTTTTCTTTTATCACTTCTGGTTTTTAATATTTTCCAATATCTTTTCAGAAGGAAGGTATAGAACTGTTGTGACTAAGTGCTGAAGCAGTTAAAAATGCTATAAACACAATTTCATAAACTAAATTCTTAGAAAGAGCTGAAATAGCAACACTGGCATGTGTTACTGATCTTTATGTATATTCCATACTCCCTTCACGATTTCCAACATAATTCTTCCGATTAATTTTCATTTAATCTGAAACATTTTAACCCATTTCAAAGATTTGTATTTAATTTTTTTTTATACATGATATATTACTTTTAACCACACAATCATACAAGCTTTAATTACTAATAACATTTTTAAACACTACAAGTACATTTGAAATCACTTTGATGATTCGAAAATTAGTTATAACATTTTCAAACAGTGTTTGAATACATTTGGATAAATGGAAGATTTTCTTCTCTACTGTGGTTTCATTAATAGTATAAGATGTAAGAAAATTGCTATTGTCTATGCATGCAAAAATTAAAATTTAGAATGTTTCGATGAATTTTTAAATAATATCAAATTACAACCAGTTGTTTTATTCACATTATGCATTACAAAATGACACAAATTAAATTTGTCTTTCAAATCGTTCCCACCATACAATATCTCCCTGTCTTATGTTTAAAAGAAATTAAATAATGAAGAATCTGCATAAAAGTTCCTTGCACTGTGATTTAAAAAAAAAAAAAAAAAAAAAAACAGTACCTACAGCCATCAAAATTTGAATAACATAATCTTCCACACAATATGGAATGTGGAAGCCCTAATTTGAAATTTATTTTATTATCTATTTCAGAATTTGTAACACTTCTACGAATTTTTGATTAAAAACTAAATGATTTCATAGAGCAATGGCAACATTGTACTCCTCCCCCCCCCAAAAAAAAATTATCTCCAGCAGGTGAGACTCTGTATCAGAAATTCTAAAGATATGCTCATTTTAAAATTAATTTGTCATATTGCTGTTGAACTGAATTTTATAGTTTGAGTACGTAGCACATGTTTAATAAATAAAGGTAATACAAAACATTAAATAAACGCCCCTTTGGACGTAATTTAAAATCTGAAATGTTTGTTTGGTAATCACACATTAAAAACTTCCTTTTATTGCTGTAAACTCTGATCACCTATAATATTTTAAGTATGTCACTACTAAAATTACTTTCATTAAGTTTTGATGTAGTTAATGTCATAATTTTTACATAACACAAAACATTTAAAAATTATCCATCATTACTTTAATTATTTTTTGGCCCATTAAATACAGGTGGACCACCAGTGCTAACAACGAAGGGGGATAAAAAGTCTTCCCACTACAAAATTATTATGAAGAATATAATTCTCAACAAAAATAAGTCAGTGTTCCATAAATGTGATTTTCTTTCTCATTAACTTGAGATTTCTGCTCTTCACTTTCAAACACATGGTGGTTACAGATCTACACCATGGCCTATGACCATCGATTAATGTTGTGTCTGTAATAGTATGTTGATTATGATGATGAGTATACTGATTAAAGTCGTATTAATGTAGGCCGTAATCACACTTTTGACCCTTGAATGGTTATGTGGGTTAGCATTTTTCTATCCGACCTAAAGAGTAAGCAAAGGCCCAATGTTGACATGTCTACACATCATCTTATAAATTTAAGCTGATGACGTAAAATCTAGAAATTTCTGAAATTCCAAATCCAGAATTGACAATCCCAGCAATTCCAAATCTCAGACTTTGTAATGTAAAAATATTTTTTCATATATTTTATGCTTAATAAAAATTCTTACTTTAGCATAAATAAAAATTTTCAACAATTAAAAGAGTGACAAATCACACAATTTACATTTAGGATAAACCTAAAAATGCAATATCCATCTTTCAATGCTAGGTTAATGTAATAATAGTACGATTCCTTTAATTAAAATGCATTAATGAGCCATGTGAATTCTTTAGCTAATTCCTTTTTATAACTTGCACTTTTATACTGAGAAATCCTGAAGAAAAGCTTTTATCAAAGTACATTTAAATATGACAAAAATCAAATAAATAAATTAATGTGCATGTGGATATACTTAATAATGTATTAGCTAAGGATTAATTGTATGATTTAAACATAAAATGTCTCAGGAAACAAAGCACAAGAAAATGCACAACAATGAAATCCATGAATTTTTACGATTCTAATTTTATTTTATATATCTGAAACATACAATATCAACTATAAATATATATTTCTGCTCAACGACATTTTTTCAAAACTAAATATAAATAAACAAAATGTTATAAGAAAATAAAATACATCATTTCAAGAATAAAAACTATTACATCATTTCAAGAAAAAAAACTATGTCTATTAAAAGAAACAATGCACTATCATATATGCCTAGAATTCATCAATATAAGCCACAACTGCCAACCACGAAATTATGAAATCTTGAGAGGTTCTTGAACGAAAACCGGGATGTTTTAAAGTGACAACATTTCAAAAGAACCACAACAAATTTACATTCACTTCACATTGGATTCATCAAGTATATGTACTTTTCTAATTTAATATATACTAATATTTAAGTATATATTACAAATTTTATGCTTTTTGGCTAAATTTCAGTTTACAATTTTTTTATTCTTTTACAATGCAGAGACATTTGAACACTGAAGGAAAACTTTTATTTATGAAAGTACTTTCAAATAAGAGAACAATAAAATTATTATTTGTGAAAGAAAGTACTTTTAAATAAGACAACAATTAAATTCATTTGCATATTATTGCATGAATAAATTTAAAATGCACCATACTGATTAAACACTGGCTGTTCTCTTTAACCCCTTTAAGGCCCACCAGCGGCTGAGTGGTAAAGATGCTGAACACTGGTCGGTCCGAGTTTCAAATCCCGCGAACGGGCTGGCTGCATGGACTTTTTCGTGGTTTTTTCCCATGTATAACGTGTATATGAGCCAGTTTCGCTTAGAAAGTCCTCCACAAAGGCAACCCTCCCTTTAAGCAGATAGCCCTCGTGTCCTTTGCCATAATTGAATAATTCAATCCAATCCTTTAACTCCCTCGCGACTGCATGTTGCTGACCCTCTGCAGACGGGTGTGTCATATATGCATAAGTCCCTTATGTCGCTAGCTTTGGGTGATGCACTGTGCATTGCCGCTTGCATCTATATTCCAGAGGATGTGGCATATATGCACTTTCAAAAATACACATTCTTTTAGAATTTTTTTTAAAATCACTAGATGGCACTCTGTGTCCACTACAATTAGGTCATTTGCCCATATATATATTGCTGGCCTTGTGTCCATAAAGTATTTTTGGATTCTGGTGATCTGTTTAGAGCACAAGCAGATGATAGTAAAGAAAACCCATTTAAGGGGCAGTTGGCTTTCCATGATTATAAACATTAAACAACTGATGCTTCAAATTTATTTTCCCTTTTTTTCATATGAGAATGGGGCCGTGGTTTTAAAAACTCCTAGTTTGTATTCAGTTAGCATCTTCTTTAGATAGCAGATGAAAGTTTTTTGCACTGGGTAAAAGAGTTAAACTAATAGTGTGATGTCTACGAGAAAGGCTTTTAATGGAAGAAGAGTATATTCAAATTGCGAAGCCCATGAGTGACTATTTTGACACAAACAACTCTAGATTTAAATGAGAATAGCGATTTTGATACTGAAATTTCCTCAGAGACTGTAGTTTGTTTTCCTTTCACTTCACAGCAGAATAGTGGTTACTTTGTCACGAACTCTATTTTTTAAGTAACTGAATCCCTATGAATATACAGGAATTGTAGAAGTAAACTTAATTTAAAATTATGGGAATGAAATTTATTTTTTCACTATTTTTTCATCGATAATCTAATGAACATAGTAGTTGAAGGAAATAATTTCTATGAACAAAAGACAACTGAAAATCCATCTTCATTCAAAATCAACCCACTCCTCTAGATGTGCATAAAATGAGGGGATTCTTAGGATTAATTATTCTGCTGGGATGGAATTAAAAAGTTTGACCTGAAAATGTGTTTCATAACTAATGAAATAATAACGACTAGATTATAAAATACTGTCTCCTTTCTGAATCACTTATTTACTAATATTTGATCATATATTTTAATATTTTTTACGCATGTTTAGACACAGATTTTACAACATTTTATCAAATAAAATATTTTATTTTGCATTTAGATTTTAATTTAAAAATTTTTCAGAATCTCTTAATATTCTGTATTTATGATTATATTACTGTAAGATACCACTCCAGTAAAAACCAAAACAATTGTTTAAAAAAAGCATTTTTGATGTTTAGTGACACGAAATACCCCATCTGGCGATATTGCACTAGTGCTACAAGCCACATCCTCCAAGATGAGTGGCATTAAGCGGCATGCCGTCGCATAAGAAGATTACCTGCTGGTGTTAAGCTGCTGAAGGGTTTTCTGTAATAAAGTTCTGTAAATGTCAAGACAAACCAGATCATGTAAATTTAATAAGAAAAATTATGCTGGAAATTACCAGGAGTGGTGGAATAGAATTTGCCCACTTCTAACTTTCATTAATTCAACAAGCTTCATTTACTCTAGGGAAACACTTTTCTTAGTCGAGGTTGAAATTAAAAATCGGGAAATTTGTCTGATTACCGGGAAACAATGAAAAACCAAGCAAGTTGGCAGCTATGAAAAGCCCTCACAATATAATCAAAACACTAAAATTACAAAAGTTACTTTTAATCATGACATTAATGCACTTAACAGTAAGCCGCTCATAATATACAGTACTTCCTTGTTAAAATGGCATAAAAACTAAATTACCACAATAACATATATAAAAATGTTCTAAATTGAGGAGGGAGAAAAATCTTTACATTTGCTTATGCAAATGTAAATTACATTATGCGTGTAGGTTTTATTAAACCATTTCCAAAAATTTCACTTGTTCAGAATTTTCTGTACATTTAAACTTTTGATCATACATAAACACTTGGTTTCAATGGAATCCAAGATTCTGGAAATTAACTTATTCTCATCTGTATTAATATGAAGATATTTTCATTCCCACTTAGTCCTCTTCCTTTTCATTCTTCCACAGTTTCATTTAAATTGAAAGAAAAAATATCTCGATCATTTGATTTGCTTTGTCTCCAGTTTGACTCTTCAGAATAACGATATTTAAATTCTGTTTCACATCTGACACAACAATATCTCAAAGGCTGCATTATAACTAGGAAGTTCTGTTTTCGCAGAATGTTTGAATGAAAGGCTGAAACAACATAGCATACAAACGTATATGTAAAATTCATCACTAATACATATCCCATTTATTATTACAATGCATCCTGCAAATGACCGCAGAAGTATGCAGTAATAACAATGAGTATATAATAAATAATAATAAAGGTCTGGCACTGGGACCCTTAATCGAAGGTTTTACAGGAATACAATTATTATAACCTTCGATGCAACAAGGCAGGGTCGATAAGGTTGTTGCAACTTATCTGCCAGACCCAAAAATTAATTCAGATATTCATATCTGAATACATACTTACTTATCCTTGAGATGAGGAGCAAAATCTATTTCATCAATAAAATACATTTCAAAACAAAACTGGAATTTTAAATATGAATGTTTTAAATGAAATTATGTCATTAATGTTATGTATTTTTATCCTGAGGTACTTAAAAAAGCTTAAGATTTGCTAAACATGCTATTCTACTAACAACATTGTATATGATTTTTTACCACTATATTGAACTTGAGACACAAAAATATATAAAATATGTGCTGGGAATTTTAAGTTTGATTTTGCATTTTAGCTTATATAAAAACGTTAAGTTAAAATTTTCACTATCAAATTCATGTAAATATAATTCCAATACAATCTCAAGGTTAAACTCCATGCATTTAGCATTCCAAAGAAGATCCTCATCTCAAAGGATAAGAAAAGAATGAACACAGTTCATAATCCTTATTTCAGCAATATTAATTTAATTGCTTGAAGGAAAATTAACCAAAATTATAGTTTTAATTTTATAACTAAAATTTTTGTTAAGACTCTCAGTGGTTGGGCATCACAATGCATTAAAAAGAATCGAGTTGCCTTCCACGCTCCAAATTCATAATATAATTGTTACTGTCTTTGAGTCTATGCAGCTTCACAATAGTGCTGCCTTGAAATATCTTCATTTCTTCACCAGACATTTGAAAGTAAATACCACCTGAAAGGTAGAAATTTTTGTAATTATTGCATAGAAACTTTCTAAGCACTCAAACAAAAAAAAAACCTGTGCAACTGTTAAAAAATTCAAAGTTCCTGATCATCTACAAATATTACACGAAAAATTAAAAATTAAAAAATGGGATATGAAATTTATAAAATGAGAAAGTGGAGGAAATGTAGAACTAGATATAAAACATAGTTTCATTATGGATAAAATGATTCAAATATAAAATATAAATACTGATTTCCAATAACAGATGGTTGTACAGAGCTGAAAATAGTTTCTTTTTAGAATGAAAATTTCCCTTTTCTTATTTCCTTCAGAAAATTTTTTAGTGAAAATTTATTTTATAGTTAAACTACATCAACAAAATTTAATTTTATAATTTAAACTTTAATCTCAATTTTATTCATTTCCCTTCAAATTAGAAAATCCTATTCTTCTCATGAGACAATCTATCATATTAATTCTATTAACAGATAGATTTTAACATGTGTGATCACGAAATTCCGAATTTCAAAACAGTAGAGGCAATGACCTGAAAGACTAAAATGTGCTAATTAGAACAGAACTTCCACAAAATATTCAAGCAGTTCCAGTATCAATGGCAGCACAAGGAGACTACTCTGAAAAGTGAAGACCACAGTTAAATCAAATATTTCCTCCCCCTCCCCTCAATCCACACAATCTCAAATTTTTTATCTCATGTCAAACATTTAAGACATTTCAGTTCATCAAACAATGATCAATGCTAGTTTAAAGACTCAAATTCAAAGGGTAGTCAGCTGGTGATTCAATATTTCCCTCCTTAATACTGTGGTATTCAGAATAATACAGTTTGTAAAATACTATTCTATACATTTCAATATCAATTTTGATTCCAGATAATAACATATCAATAACACTCCACTGATTCTGAAGTAATAACATTAACACAAAAAATAAAAGTGTGTTTTACAAAACAGTTCCAGCACTATTGGGAGAGGGGAAGAGTACTGCAAACACAAAAATCTTAATATTTATATAGTTCTCAGTAATAACTAAGTAAGTAAAATATTATGCAATAAACTGAGTATAGTAAAAGTGTCCACAGAACATTAGCCAAATCTGAATAAATTACAGATCAACATAGAAAGCACAATAAACAGCAATTACTTTATCTGGAGACAGGTCACTAAATTTCAGATTTAATGTAATGATTTCTCCTCCTCAATAAATAAATCCCCAGGAAGAAGGTGAATGTTTACTATCAAACTTCATTTAAGAAAATATTATAACATGCACATTTTCACAAATTTTCTGAATGGGGCAAAAATTTACTTCAGATCTGTAAGTTTTTATAATGAGAAAAGAAAAAAAAAAAAAAAAATGCAATGCTTATAAATAATACCTGGAAACACCTTTACTGTCCATAATTTTACAGAATTTCTTAAATTATTTATAACTAGTCTAAATTTTTCCTTCTCGCTTGATTTACTAAATAACAAGACCGAATAATAACATGTCACATCACAAATAGGAAAATGAATGTATTACATCAAAAGAATAGCTCACGACAACTATTACTAACATATTAAAAGAAAAACTTCAACTAGACTTATTCTGCTACATCACTTGCAGCATAATCATCATTCCATACATACAGTATACTGAATTCATAGTTGCACAGAAGTAATATCCCCCTTTTGCCTAATATATTTATTTATATTGTACGTTTTATTACAGGATAACTACAGAATATGAATTGCAGAAAATCATGATCGTGTAATTATTAATGCACATAATACAATAGTTAAGTGAAATGTTCTAAATAAAATCATTTCATGCATACACTAATTAATAAGAACATACTTTAGCAAAAAACCTCTATAACAACACATAAAGGTGCATTCACAGATAAATTATAGCAAGCAAATTCAATATTTCAACTGAAGTATTATAGTTTTCTATATATAAAATAAAATACAGATGAAAAAATATACTGCTTTCTATGTAAATATCATCCAGATTTTCACCTAAAGTGGCATTTAGCTGAGAAGGGATATTAGTCTCAAAATGGTATTTGACATTGAATCACATTTTTCTCACATTGTGAAAAAACAAAGATATATATAGCCATTAAATTTTGTATAATGTGGTCCTCCACCCAAATATGAGCACCTGGAAGCCCAAATTTGGAATTTCAAATTTGTTTTATTATCTCTTTCATAGCTCGTAAAACACTGATGAATTTTTTATTAACAAACTCAATGATTTCAAAGTAGGCAATGGGAACAAAGTAGGAAAAAAATATTTTTAACTCCATCATGTATGACTGTCTATAGGATATAAGTTATGCTTGTAAGTTATGCTGTTTTTAAATATTTTTAGCTCAATCTTGAAACGTGTGTGTAAATGAAAAAAATTAACCTTTGGGCATAATGCACTTCCCGACATTGAAAATATAACACCACGAAGAAGTGGCCAGAAAGTGATGAAACTCGGCAAACAGAAAGAGACAGCAGAGAATAACAAGTGATCTTTTTTCGAAATGATATGCATAATACAGAATGAGAACAACATCAGCTCGATAGGTTGTAGGACCAACTCGGGCGGTGCTACACAAAGCAACATGTCTAGGTACATAGTCAATAAGACTACACATGGTGTCCTGAGAGATGGCTCTCCATTCCCTGTCAACTATTTGCCATAGTTTGTCTTTTGAACCTGACAATAGCAGGGTCTGCAAATGGCGTCCAATCACATTCCAAATGTGTTTGATTGGTAAGATAGGAGAGAACGGTGGCCAGGGAAGTATCTGTACAACTTGCAGAGCATGAACATTGCATAATTTGGCAGCCACTCCTTCTTGGTTTTGCATTTTCAATATCAGGTAATGTATAAAATCTGAAAGCTTTCATATTTTTTTCATCTATTCAATATTTTGTAAAACTTTAATGAACTTTACTTTTGTAACTTTATTGAATACTTTTAGAAGTTTCAATTCAAAATTTAGCTCACCTTCACAATGCTGGATTCCATGAACAGCAACATTGTCCTAATAAGGAAAAGGGGAACATTATATAATTACAATGATTGCACTATATATACAATTACTAATTTTCTTTTTAACAATAAATATGTGCACAGTTATTACTTTTCAATCTTAAAATATGCACTGTTGACACAAAAAATTCTAACTATTCTCTACATCTATTTCTCACCTAGTTCAGTATACATCCCCCTCCCCCCCAAAAAAAAGACATTTAAATAACACAACCACTTTGCAACTTCGCAAATCTGTACAGCTGGCCAAAAAAATAGATTAAAATTTTTATTACATGTATATTTAGCAATTTAATTAGATAATTATTGGAGCAATCAATCAATCAATAAAACTAAAAACAATCCCCCATGATTATCATTTCATAGCAATTGCATTAAGAACAGATTCAAAGCAGTTATTTATTTTAACAATTCTGCAGGAAAATACTGTGCTCCTATGGAAAATTCTACCGTAGTAAATTTCCACAAAAGTGCTTCTAAAAGTGCATATTGTAAAACTATATATACAACAAAAAGAAGTCTTACAAAAACAGCAAACCTGCTTGTTAAATCTCAAGTGCACAGCTGCCAGAATTTTGAGCATTCTGAAAAATATGACTCCTACTAAGGTTGTTATGGTAATATGTAAATACCAAAAATAACATCACGTGTTAAATCAACAGTTCTACATATACAGCAACCGAAATGCAAGACCATATTGTAGAAATTTCACAATAAAAAATATATCATCATGAAGATGGTTTATGAAGACAACACATCTAAACCATCTTTAATTTCAATACAGACATTCAGAAAGTCATCCTAGAAAAATATCCGTTATGGCTTATGTAATAATTAACATAATTTTTAAAAACATATTTATAAGAATACACACACAAAAAAAATTAATTTGCATAGAATCCCAACATTATGTTTCACTAGAGCTGAGTGTCTGAAAATTCAGATTACCCAGGAAAGGAAATACAGCAAAACTGTGTTTAAGTTACTAGAACAGAGCAATTAATACCTTTTTTGCCCAGGAATGGAAACACAGCAAAACAATGCTTAACTAACTAATGCACAGCAATTTTAAACACCTTTTTTCTGGGAGGAGGGAACAGCAGGGGTACTCAAAAATCATGCTCATTTTCATAAAAAGTGAAAAAAAAAACCCTTAATTTGGTAAACATTACTCACTTATTTTTAAAATATGTTTTACATAAGCTTAAAACTTCTCTTTTAAACTTTGTATCCTTCATTTAAACTGCATACACTAAAAGATGTGCATTTGTAATTATCATAAAGTAAAATTTTTGTTATAATTATATTGTAAGCTGTGTTTAAAGTTCCTAAGATGCAAAACATACAATTCTAAAATTAAAATATTGGGTCATCTGGAAAGTTTTGGAGTTTTCCAAATTGAAGTGCAATTTCTTTTACTTGTTTTGCTACTCCTGATAAGGAGTGACACCTTAATCAATACAGATGTTTAAGTCTTAACGTTTTTGCAGACGATTCAGCGCCACTTACCTAATGCACATGCGCTTCTAATTAATTCAGTTCTCACTTCGCGGCAAGGCAAAAATACATAAAATTCAAAATATTTTCATTAAAATTTTATAGCTATAGAAAAACATAAAACACTAAATAGTTTAAAAAATAAAAAACACAATTTTTGCAATTAAAATTACAGTTTCTATATAAAAATAAGCTAATAACTTAAATGATTCCATAATGAATTAAGCATAATTTAATTCACAATAATAAAAGAAGACGTTACTTTGTTGTTGAGAAGCTTAGTTTCTCTAGATTGCAACAAATCCACTATTCTGGTAAGTTTTAAATGTAAACGAACATGGACAGCATACTAATCAGAAATTAGGCTTAGTCGCACTTAAAAAACTTTTAAATTGTTGGTAATTCCACAATTATTGCATATAGGTTAACTAAAGGCATAAAAACCTTAACCGGAAGATAAGAACAACCTAATTCAATCAGTTTTAAAGCAAAAAATGCACAATTTACAAATATATAAGAATAAAGTAACTGAGATCACTAAGCTGAGTAACAGAGTGGATATAAATATACATATATTTATGCACTTTTGGTGCGGCCGATTTGCAACCAAAATACAAGGTGCACATCAACATGTTATAGCAGTCCTATATACAAAATTTCAATGTTCTGAGGTTACTCGTTTTTGAGCTAGATACATATGTATGTACGCACAGACGCCACGATAAATTCTCTTTAGAATTCATTTTAAATCAGTTTTATAATTTTTTTGGGGGGGAAGATTCCTTTATTCTGTCCTTACGTACAGATATCATGCAAAAACATCGAAATTGCATTCGATAGCAGTGAAAATGGATAATTTTGTTGAAATATAATGGCTGAAATATTTCATGATTACAATACTTCCTTTTTATTTCGTACGAGGAAGTAAAAAGGAAAACATGCTAGTCAGACTGCTCATAAAATTTGTCCTGTACATGGACAAAATACTGTTTCTGATGACACAGTTTAAATATGATTTGAGATTTTTAAGTATGAAAATCTTAACCTAAAAGACAGTGGTTGCTCTGGAGAACAATCCTCTGTAAAGGAGGACCTATTAATACGAGGGTTGGAACTTTAATAGTGGCAACACAGCTGAAAAAACGCTACGCAACAAAACCAAAGAATATCGCGTATACCACATGTGAACTACCTCTCAGCAAAAAGACTCGTCCTGCCTACGTCACGCGCATGCGGAGTGACGAAGAACAGATCCTTGTATTAGCTCATGGTCTAAAGTAAGTGTTGTCAGGATGTTTTCAAAACAAGAACAACGATGTTGGATAAAAATTGAATGTGCCAGAGGTTGTACAGCACGACAGTGTCATCAAGGGCTTCAAGAGGCTTGTGGGGAATCTGCATTGCCTTACAGAACCGTAGCAAGATGGGTGAAAGCATTCAATGAAGGACGCCAAAACGTGGCAGACATGCTGCGGCCAAGTTGTCCGAGTGTCAGCGATGCAGACGTGCAAGCTGTTGCCCCACTAATGGACAGTGATCGCCACCAAACGATTCGTCAGCTGGCCGGACAAACAGGATTAGCACATACGAATGTGCTGCACATTCTGAAGGAACACCTGTCCATGAGAAAAATTGCTTCACAATGGGTTCCACATCAATTGACGGAAATGCAGAAATGGCTACAATACGATGCTGCCCGAACCCACCTGGAGCGCTATGAGCGCGAAGGAGATGCTTTTTTATGCCATATCATTACGCTGGATGAGACTTGGGCCCGATTGTACCAGCCAGAACTGAAACGCCAATCAAACGAATGGTGTCATCACGGGTCACCACGACGTTCGAAATTTTGTCAGAACCCCAGCAATGTGAAAGTTATGATGATTCTCGTGTATGACTGTGATGGTGTCATCCTAACGCATACCGTTCTCCCACAGCAGACCGTCACTACGCAGTATTACTGCTCATTTTTGGAGCACAATCTCCGACCAGCTTTGAGAAAAAAATGGCGACACTTTCTGCAGAACGCTCCTCTCATTGCATGACAATGCTCGGCTGCATGCAGCGGAAGCTGTGACTGATTTGTTTAAGCGCTAGGGCTGGGAAGTGCTTTACGATTCACTATACTCCCCAGATCTAAGCCCTTGTGACTATGACTTAATTCCTAAGATGAAGGAACCACTTCGTGGCACTCGCTTCCAAACTGTTCCTGAGATTCTTGCGGCAGTAGACTGGTCCATTCAAACTATCAACAAAACAGGCGCTGCTACAGGTATTTTGCGACTTCCACATCGTTGGAAATGGGTTGTACACAATGCTGGCGACTATATTGAAGGACTGTAAAACATGGTGACATGAATAACTTTTGTATTCCTTGTAAATAAATAGCTGCCACTATTAAAGTTCCAACCCTCGTATTAAAAGGAAATAAATCTCAAAATCCACATTACAGAATTCAAAAACAATCATACAGATTAAATATTTCAAAATTTCGAAGTACGGTACATGATCATTTGAAGAAAACTATGTATGTAAGCTGTTAAGCAGAATATACTTCCCCAAGTTTTGGTATGTAATTCTGTGCTGAAAAGAAATGAAGAAGCTACTTTAATATAAAAAGTCAAATTGTTCTCTCTTATCATGACAATGTATAGCCTCACATTTTGATGAATGTCAAACAAACTTCTCTCCTTCTTGTCTAAAAGAGTATGGTGAGATGCTTTGTGCCAACATCCCCCCCCCCCCGCCAATATTAACCAGACTTAGCTACTTCAAATTTTTGTATCTTCAGGACACTTCAAATCTCTGAACAGCCTCAGGCTCACTTCTTTTGAGACTATCAAAAAACATCTTGACATCTTGATAACTTCTTCATAAATAACTCTAATGACTTTAAAAAAGAAATTTTTTGGCTGCCAGGGAAATAGCAAAAAGGTCACAGAATCAAATGGTTTTTATGTGATTCAATGAAATTTTTCTGCCAATTTGAGATGCTTCATTTGTATTTATAATAAAGCACTGCAAAACTTTTCAGAAGACCCAATACATGAGTCTGTATAAAAAAATTCAGCATACAAAAAGTGAGTGAATGTGGAAAGACTTTAGTTTTAGAAATCATCTTAAGGAACAATGGAAACATCAGTAGTAGTTCTTTGGCAAATTTTCTTAAATGATAAAAACTCACTAAAGATTTGTATTAACAGTTAAACAATATCTTTAACACTTATGATTTTACTTTCATTCATTAAACATTAACATTGACAAGAAGTCAATAAATGGCCCTACTTGAAAATGATCCTACAGATACACAGTGGATTCCACAGTCCAGACTTTAAAAAAAAAGGGGGGGTAAGGAATTATTAGTTTTCAAGCTCACTGATCGAATATAGCTTTTCTCCGATTTTCTGACCATAAAATTTCCTAAACGTAAGGTTTCACTGAACTATTGAACATCTCTAGAACATCACTACATATAGCATTTTACCAACTTATTTCTGCTGTGCTTAATTTCCAAAAATAACAAATTTCAAAATGAGCCACACTGATGACACAGAACAGTATTATTCAGCTAAAATTTGGGCAGACATAGGATTTTTTCCGAATGCAATACTTAAAAATTCATATAAGACAAAATTCTAACAGTATTTTTTTTCTAAAAAATTTACCCATGGTTAAAAGTGAATAATTCAAAAGTTAATTAAATAATGTCAGGCAGTTATGAAGCAAAAACAAAGACTTACAGACCTACTATTAAAGGACAGCTTACTTTGAAAATAAAGTTCATAGATATCAAAATATTTTCTAATTTAAATTACATGTAATAGAATCCTCCTTGCTGATTTACTTACCAAACACTTAAAAACAAACATTAACAAATTCTCAGTGATTTCCAATTTTTCTACAAACTGCCAAACTTCACACGCCTTTTCAGTCAGATGAACATGATTAACTGGATCTATAAGAAAATTAATTTCAGGTTATATATGATTCACAAATAATTTAACATTATTTTATGTGATTATTATTTTGATTGTTAATGACAGTTTTAATAAAAAATTGAACATGTTACTATGATTGCTTTCATAAATCATTTTTACGAAAATCCAGTAGAAGATTTTTGTTCAAATGCAAAATAATGCATTGAAAATTAATAAGCTGATTTATCCTTCTTCATGGAAGCACCTTTAATCATTAAAGCTAAAAAAAGTTTCAGGGCTTGCTTAGAACTTAAATCTAATAAACTTTTAAACAATTTAAATTTCTTGATTAGATAATTTGCCATTGCACAGCACTTCAAACCATTTAACCTAGAGCAGGGGTTCTCAACCGGTGGTATGCAAGAGAAAAATAGGTGGTATTCAAAGAAGCAAAGTATTTTTAACTATTAAATTCAAAAATTAAAACCCCAACATGCTGATTTTTTTCTTAACACTCTTAAAATTTATGCGAACTATGTTCAGGAGTGATGGTGGTAGTAGTACTTTGCAGTGGTGGTACTAAAGGTTTTCAGTTTTTGTTTAAATGGTACAGGTTAGTCAAAAAATTGAGAACTGCTGACCTAGAGCAATTAGCTTTCCTAACAGAGAATATCTGATTATGCTCCTGACAAAACTTCAAAAATTCCATACAGCTAATTTTGTTGCAAATCAATCTGGGAATACTAATACCAGATGTTTCAGTCACTACTCATCCATCGATAAATGAAAACATTTAAAATTTTCAGTGTTCTAAATATTTACATGATTTAAATGTCTATGCAGATTTCAAGTTGTTTGATAATCTCTTAAAATAATCACAGTATATTTTTATGAGTAGGATAACTTTACTCAACTACTCGGACTTGCTTTTCATCACTTTTCTCATACATCACTCATAAATGACTTAAAAAGAGAAAGAGGTATGAGAAGAAACAAAAAGGAAATTTTCTTACCTGCTATAGATTTCAAACTTGTTATGTTTTCAAGATCACTTGAAAGATCATTGCAAAGGGCATTAAAATAAGCATCATCCAAAGGACATAATGATTCAAACTGCACACTTTCTAAATCCATCGGCAAGTCATCTGCAGCCTTAATTTCAGTATCATCACAGAAGTCTTCAGAAGTCACATCATCTTCAAAAGTCTCTTCAACGATGTCAGATAATCCACCGAAATAATGGTCATGGACAACAGAAGATAACACTGAATTTTTGTGACTGAGAAATTTATATTCAATCGGTGTTTCAGGCGATTTCGCAGAATCATAGCCAGAATCAATGGATAATGGAGAACATATATTAGCATCTTCAACTTTCTTCAGCTTAGTTCCAGTTTTTCTTTTTTTCCGTAGTTCTGAAAATGGGAAACATTTTTATTTAAAAAACAATTTTACTACATTTATTTACTTCAGCTTTTTATATCAGAAGGTAAAAGTTTTACATTACTCATTTAGAACTTTTATCTGCTACATTTAACAGGGTCTGCTAATTTTAATTCTTTCATTACAGATATCAAAATTTATTCTGCCCATATTCCAATGTTTCAGAATTTCTTCAAAATATCTTCCCTCTCAGAAGAGCAGAGAAGTCGCTGAACTTAAATTCAATTCCAGATGAGCCGACTGGTTGCCTGTGCATTTTCATGTTTCTACCCCCCCCCCATATAACATCATTACAAGGCAGTTTCCCTTACAGTATCCTCCACAAAGTCATTTCTCCCTTTAGGCAGATAGTCCCAACATGCTTTACCATAATCAAATAAACCAAATCAAATGTTCCCTCTCAGAATCTTTTGTTTCTATTCTCACCACAAAAATCAGACAGTTCATTTGTCATATGTAAAAAGGTATGCTAGGATTTTAACCTAAACTCTGCAGGATTGTACATCTCCCAGAAATCACCCACCTCATCAAGCTCTCAACCAACTTGAGAACACTTCGATGACTCAGACGCTCAGTATTTGTTTGCAACTACATGACCCAGATAGAAGTAGAAAATACTCTAGTAGTGACGATTTTTAATTTCATTTTTATTTTGAGTAATTTCAACCCTGCTCTATACTGAATCAAGGCAGTTATGATAAGTTCACCACTACTTGAAACTGATACGTTTCTAACACATTTGAACTCGGCAAATTATAATTTAGACTTGGTTCTGTTGGCCAGCAAAAAGGCCTACACTGGAACATAATTGAGCACAGTTGCTTTGGCCACTATTAGAAAACGATTTCCAAAAATGCACTGGTTGCATGTGTACACTGATGGTTCTGCTATAGGTGCTAATAGTAATGCTGGTGCAGGGGTTTACTCTCAGCACTTTAGCAGGACTGTTGGTGCAAACAGTACAAACTATGATGCTGAAGTAGCTGCTGCCTAACTTGTTTTGACTGAAGTCAGTAAAAGAGATGATCAGAGCATTGTGATATTTATTGATTTACAGAGCATTATTAAAGTATTTTCTTTATTCATACTTTCAAACAATGGGTCTGTTCTAAATTGTCAGATTGTTATGATAAACTCTCTAATAAGTAATTGTTGCAATGTTATTCTGCAGTGGATCCCAAATCATTGTGGAATCACAGGTTACTGAATCTGTCCTTTCTCAACCCAATCCTATTGTTTACTATCACAGTGCTAAGAGAATCACTGAAGCAAAATGTGCAGCCTATCTTCGAGAGAAGAAAGAGAACTCAGCGAAGGAGAATATTTGTGGTTCCCTAATGGGGAATCCCATTCCTTGAGACGTACCTTAAGTCCTCTTGATGCCGTGAACTTCAGATTAAAAACTGGACATGACTACATCATGAAACACCTACACAGATTTAGTTTAGCAGACTCTACATCTTGCCCATTATGCGATATTGACAACATGTACGGTTTGGACACTTGTTCTGGACTTGATGACATGGCAATGGCTAATGCTGTTAAAATTTATTGTACTTTTTTTAATGTTCTTGAATTGTATAGGGCTGCTCGTCACAGACTAATGGCAGTCATGCCTAGCTGTGGCGTAGGATAAAAAAAGGTTTTCATAGTGATGATGCAATTGCAAGTTTTACATGGTTCGTACACATTTCTGCACACAGAAATTAAGTACTTTTAAGGACCATTAATGAAAAAAATCTGATTTGTACACCCCGACTTCCTTGTAAGAAATATTAAAAATTATATACATTTTTCCTGAATTTCATTAGTCATATATTTCTCATTCAATTAATTCAGTTCTCACTTCGTGCCAAGGCAAACATACATAAAAACTCAAAATATCTACGAGGGTTGGGGCAAAAGTCATGGCAACTATTTTTTTCTTGTAGACATGTGAACAGATCAGAAAACATATATGTGTCATGTGGAAGTTCTGCAGGCATAGTGTGTATGCAGAAAAACAGATGGCTCTGTGATAGCTGGCTGTGTGGTAGTGAGGGCACTGAAATCAGTCAGTTGGTGAGTGTCATGCAAGATGGAAATAACCAGTGTTGAGCAGGGCGCTTACATCAAAATAGTCGTTCTCTGAGGGAGAAATGCGATGGAATGTCACAGTGAATTAGTAGAAGCCCTTGGGAATAATGCCCTACCATATCGTACAGTAGCACGGAGGGTAAGAAAGTTTCAGCAAGGACGTGAGTGAACCAGTGATGAGCAACGTTCGGGACGACCGGTGAGTGTGCCGTCATCAAGCACCTCATGGATGAAGACAGATGATGGACATTACTGGAGTTAGAGAGGGCAAGTGGCATCGAGAAACGCACCGTCCACAGGATATTGCGTAATGAGCGACAGCTACACAAAATTGCTTCGCGATGGGTACCGCATGTACTGAAGGAAGTTCAAAGGTGGGTGTACTATGTGCTCCGACCACTTTGCACGCTGGCAATAGGACAGCGATCAATTCTTTTCATGAATAGTTGCCATCGATGAATTTTGGGCCAGGGCATACAAACCAGAACTGATTGTCAGTCCACAGAGTGGCGACATCCTGGATCACCAAGGCAGCAGAGGGTCCATCAGAATCCTTTCCCAGTCAAATTAATGGTGATTGTCGCGTATGACATCAGAGGTGTCACTGTTTACCACTTTGTTCCTCATGGCAGAACAGTGACCGCACAGTACTACAGGGACTCATGTCAACTTTATGTGTATTGTGTTATTCTTTTGCACGGTGAAGGCCATATTGCCCTGTATACTACCGTAATAAATTTGTGTGTTACGATATTTCAGTGCTATTCATTGTCCACACATGTAGTTAAGACCTTGTCCTTTCATCTGTATATGTCACATTTTCCAACCAGACTGGTATCTTCAAGAAAAAAAATAGTTGCCATGACTTTTGCCCCAACCTATGTATATTAAAAATTGAAAGATATGGAAAAACATAAAACACCAAATACAGTTAAAAGAACTTTTTAAAAAAAAATTTAAAAATTTGATTTAAATCATGTCAAAGAGGGAGTACATCAAGATGAAATACTACATTTAGTAAGGAATTATAAGCCGAATAAAATAAAAACATCTGTCCTGAAGATGAGGATAGTGCTGACAGATCAACTTCAGTTCATTGTGCGCCGCGACATTGTAACCCAGTTAATATACTTAAAGGTTCCAATAAGCCACTAAAGCACCAGAGAAAATTAGACCATTAAAACCAGCATTAGAAATTTGTCTCGATACACAAACCAATGTTCTCACTAGTTTCTGTGTGCTTTATCTCCTAACTTGTTAGCCTCTCCACAATCTACCTATGAGTGTTCACTTGATCTGGCAAAAGTTAAATAGTTCAAACTCACCCACCATCCAACAATCATGAAGCAAATTATCGCTGTGTCTGAATGTAACTATAAAGACAAAGGTTTAAATAAGCTTCTTGTTTAAAAATAACTTAGAACATAAAGGCAAGTTGTGATGCTAACAAAATTAATTTCAGCTTGTGATGTTGTAATTAAACCAGAACAGTCAAATTCAAACTAAAAATGTGGACTAGTCATTAAAGACTATACAATTTAATTTTAATTTAAGCTGGCTCAGTAACTCTATCGTCATAACAAATTCAAATGTTTGAAATAATAATGCAAAGACGAATAATTACAAATTATCAGAGCCAGCAGGAACTACAGCAGCGAGCAAACGGAGGTCAGAGACACACTGTCCTTTCACTCCAAAAACCTCAATTTAAAAACTGTGTAAGTGATTTGCATTCTAGGAGGAAATAGATATGGGAAATTATAGTAGAGACTGAAATTATAAATAACTGGGTAATTTGCATAATAATAACTGTACATTTATTTAAAAAAATAATTTTTCTCTTTATGTATTTGGTTTCTTTCTTCAACATGTTTCCTTTCATTTTAGAATTTTTGGATTTAATTAACAACTTCTGTTACTCTAAAGAAGCTAAATGCATTTAAAATGTATAGAAAAAACTGCTGATTATATTTCTTTAGTAATATGAACATTCAGATGAAATACATACGGTAAGGGACGATTACAGAGCTCATGTGGCAGAATTTTTAGAATTTAGTGACACAGAATTTAGAAGGGCCACAAGGCAGCAGAATTTAGGATCCATAGAGATTGCATCAGGTGGAAAAATACCTAGTGCCAACCCTGTGAATGATGCATTAAGACATATTAGATGAAACTTTTACATTGTCAGTTTCCAACTTCTTTATTAATAAAAAAATTCCTTTCTATAATGCCTGTCCATGTGATAAGATTAGAAGCATTTCTGATATTTCCCATGATTCTGTCTAGAGAAAAGTAGAGAAAATAAGTAGAGGAAATAAAGATAAACATGTTAAGAAAAAAATTCTAGTATCAGAAGTAAAACATTCCCTACCAATTCTGTAACAGCAAAAAGCCAGAAATATTTTTGAAAAAAAAAAAAAAAATAATAATAATCAGAGGAGAAAAGTGTAAAATTAATTTTGTAGAGAAAACTAATGCATATTCTGAGAATTCTGATTATTTCGAGACATTTACATGGGGGAAAACTTACCATTAAAAAAGAATACATTTTTAATTAATTACATAGCTATTTTGCTTTTGCTAAGAACAGTTTCATAAATTGTGCTTTACAGAATTATATCTTGTTTATTTTTCAGATTCAAAATATTGAATAAGTGGTGGCCGAAATGGAGCTTTATAATATGACAGACAAAAATTAAAATGTTTTATTTTAATGTTATGTTTTAAATATAATTTTAATACATTACCATTATTTTAATGAAATTTTATAATGTTTTAAACAAATCATAGAAAAATTCCCAGCTCAGAAACTTGAGTATCCCAACATTTATATTAGAAATAAGAACAAATTATAACCCATTCAAAAGATAACCATATTTTTCTGTGAATCGCCAAAAATATTCCTCCAAAATGCTAATTCACACTCAAAATGGCAGTGGTAAAAACAGAAATTTCAGATGATTTCACTTAAGGACCTTCTGTTGATTTTGACCAAAATTAAGGACTTTTAAGATCCAAAAAGAGATTCCCCCCCCCAAAAAAATGGATTTTTAGGGACCATACGAACACTGTTTCATGAGCATTGTCTATCTCTGGTTAGCATTTTCAATAATGATTTCATCAAACTGATTGATCAACTGATCAAACTTTGGAATTTATTACCTATGAAGAAAAATCTCAGATAACAATAGTCTTACCATGTTGCTGGTAGAACAAAATCTCTAACTTCATGAATTTAAATGAAACAGGTTGAGGAACTTATTCTGTCCCAAAGCTTATTCTATATCTCTGGTTTCAAGATTTTAAACAAATACTTAGAAGCAAACAAACAAACACTTAGAAGAACAATACTTTATTTAAACAAACACTTAAAAGAAGAGCTTAATTAGGTATTCATGCATTAACACAACCACCTTACTAGAAGTTGCCAAATTTTCCAAATATGCTAAACTCAGTTTAGAAGAACAAATACTTAAAAGAAGAGCTTAATTAGGTATTTACGTATTAACAAAATTACCTTATTAGAATTCGCCAAATTTTCCGAATGCATTAAAACTCAGGCAACTATGTGTGAAGTGTCTGGTGTGCAAATATAGAAAAATAACACTTCTCTGACTCCTATGGAACCAATATTTTATTCCTTACGATGTTATAGATTCTTATTCATAAGATTTATTTACATTTTACATGCACGTAGCATCGCGTGACAAAAACTCGAAGTTTGTTTACTTCGTTCTTCGCGGAGACTAGAAGGTGTTGCCATTCCACTTTACACTTTAAATTTCATTAGAAACTTGACGGAACTGAAGCGACACTACAATGTGCATAACCATTTTTCTGGCAATCACACTCATATTTCCGAATGCATTAAACTCAGGCAACCATGTGCATAACCATTTTTCTGTCTTTCAGTCAATGCAATCTTTCAGTCATGCAAAGCCACCATTTTTGTATGCTTTACTTACTGCTGTATTCCAAGTTCTTATTATAAGCAAATTAGATTTTTTCCCCCTAAAATTTTGTTTTAAAATACGAGCTTGTGAAATTTGCCAAAAATGGAAAAAGCTGTGGTAAAATTTCTATGGTAATACAGAATTTTACTGACAATTTTCTAGAGGGAACAATGAGGAAATACGTTTCCTCAATAGCCACAGTTGCTGAGGATTTCACAAAGTACCCGCAATTCTCTGGTGTTTCCTTAATCTTTTCACGATGGCGGGCCTTTGTTTAAGACGCTCGTCCAGAACAGAAGGGAATCGAAGGCAGTCACCGCACTGGAAGGGGGTTTTGAATCGCTAAGCCTAATTTTAGAAAAAAAAAAAAAAAAATCACAAAAAAAAGTTTCCGTTCTAGCAATGTAATTTTGGGTAAAATTTTAGATTATTACTTGAGCTCTTATATATGTTAAAATTAGAATTTAATAACCTTTTTTTTTTCTTTATTTTACATGAAAATATATTTAAAAATGTTCTTATAAAATAATTTTTAGAAGCTCTATTCAATTTATTCCAAAGTTTTAATTTAGAAGATTCATTAATAAAGTTTAAAACTAATAAAACAAAAACATAAAGACTATTTACAGTAAGAAGTAACAAAATTTTAAATGAAGACTGAGTGTGGTAAATCTCATAACACGGAAAAACACAAAGTCCTACACTACATGTTCCACAAGCATAATATGTATGCTGCTTTTTTCTTTGTTTTAGCACGGTTTGTGAACACACATGCACCTTCTTTGTTTTTGTTTTTTTTTTTTTTTTTTTTTTTTTTTTTCAAAGTGTAGAAAAATGCCTACCAGATAATCGGATAGATGATAGTACAGATCTGACAGCAAACTGCTTTTCTTCTTGATAATTTCCGTCGTTCTCAAATATTTGTTCAATCGGTTTCATTTTAAATTGAAGAAACGACGTTTTAATTCTGTGTTTATTGTTAAAAAGAATGTTGGAGTTCAATATTGTTATATCCATCAGCCCAAAAACAATTTTTTGTACCATTTAACAGATTTTCAAAAACATGAATAGTGTGTCATTACTGCATCTCCGATGTGTACACCATGCATGATTTTGTTATAATCTATAATACAATTAGGTTTTAAAATGTCTTCTTCAGTAATTCTATCTTTTTTGCCAGATTTAGCCATTTCTGGTCCATGTATGTAATAGCATAAAAATGTTTTTCTTTAAAGGCAATGATTTTCATATTATTTTGCTGCATTACTTCCAATTTACCTGTTTTTAATTTTTTTCCTGGAAAGTTTTTAGGCATTCTTTTTAGTGTTTTTAATACTGTTCCACAAACATTCATTTTTACAAAAAGCAAATATTCTGCAAGTGATGGGAAACTGAAGAAGCGATCCAAATATAAATTATACCCTTTCTCACATAAGTCGCTCATCAATGTCTTCAACTACTCTTCCTCCATAAGACCCATCGCTGCTTAACATTTCTGAGTCCTTTCCGCAGTAAATTACAAAATTCCATGCATAAATGGTAACTGATTCACATAACTTACATATTTTTATTTTGTAATGGGATCTTTTGGATGGAACGTTCTGTTGAAAGCCAAGACGTCCTTTCCAAGCAGAAAAGGATTCATCTATGCAAATATTTTCCTCGGGTATGTAGTTTTTTTTAATTTTTTTAAATATTTTCTATGATTAATCCTAGTTTTCCCAACTTTTTAGTCTTGGCAAAATGCACAAATTTTAGAATATTAAGGAACGTATCTCTGTTGAAAAACAGAGTAGCAAATACTTAACTTATAGAGAAATACATTTTCAAATTAGGCTTCTTGATAATGCCCATAAGTATTATTATCACTGCAAAAAATGCTTTTATATTCTCATTATTTACATCTGAAAATTTGGATGACTTAGAAGTTGACGGAGCATTTTTTGAGCGTTTTGAGCAAAATTTTGTTTCTTCAGCAATCAAATTTAGTAGAACATCATTAAAGAAAAATATTTAAAAAATCAGTTTCAGGCACTTGCTAAGCTCTGTCCCTGACAAATTGTCTTTATCAGAATCACTAAAAGTGTCACTTTCTAACTTAGAAAATGATCCTTTTACCTTTTCATTTCTATGGAATCGTGAAATGTACCAAGATCCTGGTATTAATGTGGAAGTAACTTTAATTTATATACCCAAAAACTGATCGCTGATCCTAACGGATATAAAGGAATAATAATACTCAATTAAACTTGTGAACAAACCTAAGTTCTGATAAACTGCATTTTGAACTTGCTTCCATGCACAAAATGAATGGAAATAAATTCGAAATGTAATTTATCAGAATTTTACCGCCTAACTGAAAGAAACAATCAATTTATCAGAATTCTACTGCCTAACTGAAAGAAACAATATCATTCACAGCAAAAGAATTTGGATCTCCAGAGGAAACTACACCTGTGTCTTATTGTGCCCCATTTTGCACCAGTGTTTTCTTTAATGAATTAGTCAAATATAGGTTTCTCTTTTAAGTCTAGTTAAGACTTAATAATTTTTATAGCCTTTCATTAACCACAAGATTCTGCTAACTTTATAAATGGAAAACCAAATCATTCAATCACAATCCAAGAATTTATATGCAGCAAACAGCTAAATACAATAAGCGAAAATTTCTCATCCTAATTTCACAAAATTAATTTTGAAATTTGAACTGGTGTGTCTGAAGGAATCAGACAAATTTTGAACTAATTTTCAGTACCACTTCATGCTACTCAGGTGAACCTACTTTTGTAACTATGTATAAATGAGCTCCAAATAACTTCTGATCAAACAGGAACATAATAATAATACAAACATTCTCACCAACTGAGAAAAAGACATTTCTATTTGAAAACACAATAAAATTTTAACATACTACATACAGGAATATGCAAAACTTACCTTCCAATTCTTCAATACTGGCAAACCTGTAGATCAGTTTACTTTCATCAACACATATTATGTAATCTGATTTTTTTAATCCTCGTTTGAAGGCTCTCATAGCACGAGAGTAATCTTCTAGCCCTCTGTAAGTGCGGCCTTTCAACATATCCCAGTCCTAAAACACACAAATGCATGTAATCATCCATCTTATAATACAAATTTTTAAAACTGTAATTTTAATTAATTTAGCAGCAGCAAAACATTACAAATTCAGAGTAGGTAATTTCTTTGCTTTATGATGCATATTCATAGTTGAAATTTTAGAAATCACAGTCATAACTAACAAATACTGATATATCTTTTCCTTTTTCTCTCTCTTCATTTAACTGATTTATTTATTTTTTATTTTTAAACTATTATACAAGAAATATGAAATAGAACTAATACTCCATTAATAAAAAATTTTACCATACACAATTACTATTAAAACACAACATAATTAATATTTTAATTTATCATCTTTTGTTTCCTATGACATTTTAATAACATATTGATACACACATATGAACAAAAATAGTCTCAAAATAATAATAAAATCTTTTAGGCAATACAAAAAGTTATGATAATTATAATAATAATAATGTAGCTATAACCAAAGAAAATCAATACTTACCATTAGTAACTTTTGGTCAGATATGCTTAAATTTTTTTTTTTCCGCGGAAAAGTCAATTGAAATGTCATCAAAAGAATATCAACATACACAAGATTTTTATATTTTGCCCCCTCCAAGGCATCATGCAAAAAAGGTTTTAAATCAGAACCACTTCGTCCCATTATCAGAAATCTAGGTAAAGAAAATATCAAACATTAAATTATTATTATTAGTGGATACAATAATAACTTACACACCACAGAATGTAATGAAATTTTGAATAAGGGGTTTACACTTATTAAACTGGAAGTTTGAAAATAACATATATTGCTGGGGTGAACCAAGCAAACAAATAAATTACAAAACAAAGTCCAAAATCCAGAACTAATGAGATTTCAGCAATTTTCAAATTCAGGAATTTACCACAATTTAAATTATCAGTTTAATCTAGTAAGATGACACATAGACATGACAATATTAGGATTTCACTTACTACTGTTTAGGCTAGATAGAAAACTGCTAACCCTTCCAATCACTCAAGGGCCAAAGTTGAGTAATCTGCGACCAACATCAATCAAGGTACTGTTATTAGCCAGAGTGCGATTCTCTACTCAGCAAGTGTTTGCAAGTGACATGCTAAAATCTCGCATAGTCGGAAAAAAAATAACATGTACATCATGCCTGCTTCCTGCTGTCAAGCATTTTGTTCTGCATTCCAAGATTTTGTAAAGAAAGTTTTTTTCTGAGGGGGGGGATGCTGGTGGTTTAGATCATTTCAAATACTTCACCAACAGATTTCAGACTTTGTTCTGTACTTTTCAATGCTAGAAAATACGGAAATATTTCTTCAACTTGATTTTCGAAGAGACAGTACAGGGTGTGAGTCAGAAGTTTCAAGACTGGTTCATTTCCGAGTAGGGAAGCGCATGGGGACCGGTTCCGTCGGGTGGGAGTAGTAGCGGGGTGGTCTCAGGGAACGAACTGATGCTGTTGTAGTTGCCTCTGGAACCCTGGAGAGTGCGCATCTTTAGCAGCGTGAGTGCATGTCAGTCGAGAGGCTTTTAAGGAAGAACCCATGTCCCGTGCAATGGTTTTCATGTGGCACAAACATTTCAAAGATAATCGCGGGAATGTTGAAGACAACGACTGCTCTGGGAGGCCATCATTACGCCGAACGTATCAAAATGTGGAAAGAGTGCGGGAACTTTTAAACAATGACCATTGTCTTAGTATTAGATTAATTGCCGATGAACTGGGACTCAGTCAGAGGTGTGGAGGATTGTGACGGAGAACTTGATGATGCAAAAAGTGTGTGCCAAAAGTTTTGTCGGTGGATCAGAAGGAACGGTGCATGACTGTTTGTCAGGAAATGCTCCAATGGTTCGATGTTGATCCAAACCTTCTGGAGAAAGTGGTTACTGGTGATGAGACCTGGGTACGATCCTGAGTCAAAGCTTCAAAGCTCAGAATGGCACACTGCTTTCTCGCTGAAGCCCAAGAAAGCTTGCCTGAGCAAGTCGCATGCAAAGTGCATGCTGATTTTTTTTTTTTTTTTTTTTTTTTTTTTTTTTTATGGTAAAGGAGTGATTCAGAAGGAGTTTGGTGCTCGTGGATAGACTGTCACAGATGACTTTTACACTGGAGTGCTCTGCTGCTTGAGGGATTGAGTCCGCCACTTCCACCCGGCGATCAAGGGCGATTGGATTCAACAACACGCCCGCTCACACGTCACGAGCCGCCGCCAAAATTTTGGTCAAGTTCAACGTGACAACACTGCCGCAGTCACCCTACAGCCCCGACTTGGCTGCAAGTGACTTTTTCCCCTTCCCCCGAATCAGGACAGGCCTAAAAGGGAAGCAATTCAACTCCATCGATGCCATCCATCAGGCTTTGATGATAGGCCTTGACAGCATGACGCCTGAGGCCTTCCAGAAGGGCTACGAGCAGTGGAAGATGCGCTGGCAGCGCTGTGTTGATGCTAAAGGATCATATTTTGAAGAATTTTATTCCATTGTACTTAAATGTCCAATAAATTTCTAGTTCTGAGGTAAGTCTTGAAACTTTTGAATCACACACTGTATCTTCAAAAAGCTTATAAAACTGCTCTCTTTAAAACACTTAAGAGATATACAGTAAGCAGTATAAATATGGCATATATTATGAAAATACTCTTTCAAGATACTTCTCCTTTATAGTGAAGGTGAGAAAAAAGATTTAGTGAGGTTTCCAACTTAACGAGAAGTAAAAGGTTATCGATTTGCATATGTGTACTGTTTCTGTTCCTTCAGCCAATGAAAATTTTCTTTTTTAAAACAGAAGTGTTTTGTTGTTTATCATTTAATACACTTTCTATTTCCCATTTGCCTTTGATGAAAGAAGACACTATAATTCAAAAAGCAAAAGAACATTTATGGCGATTTATAAAACGATTAAACACACAAAAATAGGGGTCACTTCCCCGCACCTAGTCATAGCATTCATACCCAGATTCAATCGCTGAATTGTGGCTAAAAAAAGTATCTCTTACAAAATTAGTGATACATACTCATTATCTGCCCAACTCCGAAATAAATTCCCATGCAACACACTTTATCACCAAGACAACCAAACCAAAACACTGCAAAAATTTATTTTATGTCATATGCACAGATTTTGGCTTTTCAAATTCAGTGGTCATTTTCCTGATTAATGCTTATAATTTTTAATGTTTGATGAGTTTGTATTTTTACTTTCTTTGTAAGAGTCACAATGGGATTGGAGTTTGCCAGTTAATGAAAAAGAAAATGTTGCATTTCTTCAGAAATATGGTGTTTTGCTTAATAGTAGGGAATGCAAAATTTCGTATTCCACGAAGGTGAACTTTGCAAATGCATTTCTTCAAAAAGATGGTATTTTGCCTAACAGCAGAGAATGCAAAATTTTGCATTTTATGAAGGTGTACTTTGCAAACTATCAAATTTGTGCATCGATGGCAAAACTTGTGCAATGTGGTTTTTTTTAAGTGAAAACAGATTGCTATGCACATGGGAAAAGAACAGCATGTGCAAACCCAAATATGTGCAATTATCCAATTCTTTTTCTAAAGTGGAAATAGATCTCTGTGCACATGGAGAGAATAGCAGAAAAATTAGTGTTTTTTTATGGATGTTTCTAGTATTTTTAATTTTGTTAGCTGCTTGCTGCTTTATGCAAGTCTTACTGGTGACTTTCTAGAAGAGTTGGGCGAATAATCAGAAAATAAGAAATTAACTTTCAAGCATGTTTACAAATGCTGTTGATTTTAAATCATTTACTTAAAAAATTTTAATAAATTTCTAACACAAATTCATCTTAAATTTCTTCACTATGTAGATATCAAGTACAGTATAAAGTCTAAAATCTAGACCATCCAAATACCAAGAATGATCTAATATCCAAACACCTGGACCACTAATCCAGTAAGTTAAAAAATATGTAAATAAACTAAAATAACAAGAAACATTCCCCTCCTTGTTTACAAAGTCAAGCAATGGTAAATATATTACTCAATAAAAGAAAGCAGATGTACCCTAAATGGGATTTTTCTCCCTCCTAACTCTGAGATTCCTTGCATGTCATTTTCAACACCTGCTGGCTAAGAAGTGGTGCTATGGTCAAGAAATAAGAAATCGATTGATACTGATGTGGGGCTAAGATCACACTTTCAACTCTTGAGTTGTGAAAGGGTTAATATATTTCGGACCTAAACAATAAGCCCCAGTGCTGTCAAGTCTACGCGTCATTTTACTAGATTTAAAGTGATGATCCACAAATTTCTGAAATATGGAATCACTGAACTCTCAATGATTCTGGATCTGACATTGAATTGTAAGCTGTCAGACACTGAATGAAATGCCAATATGCATGCTTGAACTGCAGCAACATTTTTTTTTTTTTTTGAAAACTTTGAATAATACATTTTCGCACAGTTACATTGATTCTTAATTCAAATTATTTTTATTAAATGCAAGCACTAAAACTAACAGACATTTTAAACCATGGCAAATATTTAATACCATTTTGAAAATTAAAAGACATAAGCATTGCACATAAATATTATAAAACACATAATCCTACCAATAATAACAACATGATACTAAATGATAACCATTTAATTTAGTAGGATGTTGTTGCTATTGGTACACAACATTTAAATTCTACTACAAAAGAATATTTAACAAACAAATTCAAAAAAAACTGAACTCCATTCAATTGTGAAAAACATTAATTTTACTATAATTTAGGATTCTTCAAGACCCTCATCCCTCCCCCAAATAAAACCTATTTTATAAAACCCTTCTTCCTGCAAAATAAATATGTACAGACTAGTCTATTTTCTACACAAGCAACTACAGGAAACACTTTCAAAAGATATAATAATTTTCCTTCATACATTCCTAGCAAAACATAAAACATTTTTCCTGTGCCCTAGCATGATGCTCCTGCTCTCAATGGTAGAACTGTGTCTAAACTACTTCTCAAACTTAATTCAACTGATGACCATTTTTATAAATTAAAATGTTTATGGACCTTGATCGTTATCCCCTCGAAAGCAATTACTTTAGTACATATTTCTACCAATATACTAATATTTTTAACAATTAAGTATATTGATAGAAACATATAAGGAAGTGTTAAGCACAGTTAATATGTATCAAGGCCCATTTTCAAATTTTGCTTACATATGCTGTCCAAAGAAAGAAAATTCCAGATAAATTATAGTAACATTTAATTTGAGCAATGCATTGCATAAAGCTGACTGAATATATTCCTACAATTTAAAATATAAAAAAACCAATTGAAATTTTTTAGACATAAATCTTAAAAAATGTGATTGTAGGCAAAAGTGCCTGTCCTCTTCATCATGTTATTTATTCAGCCTCTGTTTTGTAACCTAAATTATTTTTTGAAATAAAGAAGTTTAATTATTTTTTATATATGAACAATCAGTATGCTATAATCATGATAAAAATTCATTACAGAAGTTTTTTTTTTTTTTCCTTTAGCAAATCAATAAAAAAAATTATCTCCCACTTCAAGCCAAGTCCTTGAGATTACTTAACCCACAATTAACTAGTTTATCTATGTCACTGATTATGTACTGTCCCATACAGGGAGATTTACAAACTAATTGGGGGTTCAAATAATACCAAGGTAACGAACTTGACATGAAG